AAGTAACTTAAAAATTTCTCAGTATTTTCCTGTAGTTCAATTTATACAGTGAACAGCTATATGCCATCATGGCCTTGATCAGCCTTTCACGGAAACTTAGCCTCAAAATCATTTTGTATATGACATTTTCCTCACAGAAATGTAGTGTTTCTAGACAATAAACACAGATTTTCTTTCGTAAATGGGGAATATATAAATCTGTATTTCCAATAGAATGGTGTCACGATAGCCATATTTGTAGCACAGAGAAAACTGTTTATGTACATATAAATATGTAAATGAAAGGATAAAGGATTTCAAATTTGGAAAATCACCTGAGAGGAAAAGTTTTTTAGATACATGTACAGTTTATGCAAATTATTCATAAAGCAACTACTCTTTTAATTAATAAAAGAATACTATAGCCCTAGCCTGTTTGGCTCAGTGGTTAGAGCGTCAGCCTGCAGACTGAAGGATCCCATGTTCCGTTCCGACCAAGGGCATGTACCTTGGTTGCAGGCTTGATCCCCAGTCCCGGATGGCATGTGAGCAGAAGACAACTGATTGATGTGTCTCTCTCACATCAACGTCTCTCTCTTTCTCTCTCCCTTCCACTCTCTCTGAAAAGCAACGGAAAAAATATCCTCAGGTGAGGATTAAAAAAAAAAATACTGCCCAGCTGGGCGTGGCTCAGCAGTTGAGCATCGACCTAGGATCCAGGTGATCGGGGTTTGATTCCCGGTCAGGGCACGTGCCCAGGTTGCGGGCTCCATCCCCAGTTGGGAGCATGCAGGAGGCAGCCGAGCAATGACTCTCATTATTGATGTTTCTATCTCTCTCCCCCTCTCCCTTCCTCTCTCTGCAATCAATAAAGATATATATATATTTTTTAAAAACTACATTTTTTATTTTAAAGTTGAGTGCTTATGAATAAAAGTACTTTGTTAATATTATATAATCTGTAGTAGCAGTAATTCACAGAACATATGATACATACATGTTCATGCCTTTTATGGAGGTATCGTTCTAAGATTTTACTCAGCATTCATTATTAATTTGTAGTAAGTATTACTGAAGTGCCTCCATTTTATAAAAAGCAAACCTAAAGCATAAGCACACCCATCCTCCTGCCTTGCTTGAAAGAACAGCTAGATAGGTGGCTCACCAAGGGACACAGAGATCAAGTCCCTAGATCAATGGATTTATTCCCCAGATCAATGATTTTCAAATGTTAATTCTGTGCCAACCACAGGTGATCTAGACTATCTATATTGGTATTATAAACTTAACAAAACAGTGTAAGTATCTTAAAAAGAAACCCACAAAGGATTGAATGGAGAAAAGTGAAACAGGAGCGAGAGCTGCTGTGACGAGCTATGCTACAGACCTTGGTCAGTGACTAGTTTAGCTGTTTCCACACCTCATACTTCAGCAAGCAAAACAGAACCCTAACCGACCAACATGCTCAGTACTTCTGTTTATGGATGGGCTAACTATTGACTCTCCTTGACTTTAGTATTTATTGAAAATCCTTCTCTAAGACTACCTTGCTAGTTTGGGAGAAACCCATGTTAAGCCCAATTGACAGTTTTTTTATTTTAAAGATCTAACTATTCTAAACCCAGGGCAAGCAAATGTTTTCTTAAAGGGTCAAACAGTGAATATGTTAGGGTTTACAGGCCACAGGACTCCACCTTGAGAGCTGCCACAGACACACTGTAAACAACTAGGTGTGGCTGTGCTCCAATAAAACTTTATTTACAAAAATAGGCTGGTGGGCAGGAATTGGCCCATGAGCCATAGTTTGCCAACTTCTGGTTTAGAATATCTTTATAATAAAAAATACTTCTTCCATACTTTTTAAAATCAGAAATTCTCATGGAATATTATTATTCATGCAGTCAAAAGGGGCACTGTCAATTATTTTTCATTAAAGTATTATATCCCCAAAAAAGCTGCATCAATTTGGGCTCTACTAATTGGGAATTGGAGATGATATACTTTAGACTATGTTGAGGTTGACTGCTACACCATCTATAAAAAGAGTGTCTTCTCCCTGTGATAGCAGGGCAGAAGGGCACTGATGCCCCACCTACTTAAGAAAATAAACTCACTTAAAGCACTACAGCAACTATCGGTATAAAATGACCTATTTATTAAAATACATCAGACTGAATCTTTACTTAAAATAGTTTACCTTTAATTACTATATGTGTGAAATCAATAGAACATTTATTTAAAACTATCATAAAAATTCCTACTGTTCTCTAATTCAGACTGCCTAGCCTTCTAGTCAGTAAAGTTTTACTGAAACATGAGATATTCATTCATTCATTTATAAATATTTATTGAATGCTTATTAGCAGACAGACATGTTAGATGTGGAAGATTTAAGAAATCAAGACAGTCCTACCTTTAGGGAATTCTCAGTCTGATAAAGAATCTCCTCAGGAAATAACAATTAATTGTGATGAAACAACAATATTATTGCCAAATTAATCTAACATTAAAATTAATTTTCAAGTTTCAGGAAATGCTACAAGAATCAGATATCTTATTACATCATTACCACATATACCTCTATAATTTTTTATTAAGTAAATAAAATAAAAATATCATTGATTTCCAGATAGATAATAAAACAAAACAAAGTGGTATATGCTACAAGGTTATTTAATAAACATGTAACAGAAGCCCTGATAGCAAAGATTATGTAAGTTCATAATACAGATACCTGGAACAGTTCTGAAGAAATGCTAACAGTGGGCCTGAAGACAGAGCTGGGATTCAGTGAGAGGGAAAGAACTTCTACTTTTCTCCTTACACCCTCCTCTACTGTTTGCTTTTCTTTTAAATAAAAAAAGTATTAATTTTAAGATAAATTTTAAAAAAACAAAGTGATTAACATAAACAAAGACAACAAATAGTCCTCATCAGACATGTAAACAGAGGATTTGGAGGGGAGTATATTTCAATTTATCTTTTCATTCTATAACTAAGAATGCCTTTCTCTACCCTAACCTTATCCCAAACAACTGACTTTACCTGTTTTTTGCAGGTAGAAAGGTTAAGGAGAGAAAGGCACAGAGAAACCCAATGTGTATAGACATGTTTGTGACTAAGGAGGCAAGGACCATAATTTGCACACTTCTTGAGCATCCCCCATACCACTGCCGTAAGCAAGAATCACCAAGGTCTTCCTCTTCCCTTTTTGCTCTACTAGGGACACCCAGAACCACAAAATTTAATTTAAAAGTGATGCTGGCTGCTTGTTAACTATTTTCCTTTCAAACAACAGACATGACAGACTGGACTTTTACACTTTCACAGCTCATCCTAGGAATTTTTAACCTATACAATTATGAAATAAAAATGTACTGACACTAGATGCTTTACAAACCTGTCACTCTAATCTTTTTTCATGATGCTGTTTAATTATGTGGCTATATCATCACAGAAAATTTCATTAAAAAGTTATAAGCATTACTAGTTGTTGGGCAGGACACAACCTATAACATTGGACTTATCATTTATTCTCAAGCTAAAAGGCTATGAAATTTAACAAAAATTCTTAGATTGCACAGATAATTTTTAAATAGTAAAGAGTATACATGTTTTGTGAAGATTTCTCATACTTCAGTAAATCAGAAATAATGATAGGAATAAACAATTTCTCATTTAAAACCCAGTATTTGGAAAAGGAGACAGCATATTGCTAACAGCCTCAAGGAAAACTAAAAAGAGAACAAAACAATACAAACAAATACAGTTTACTGAAAAAAATCTGACAGTGATTCTAAGTATAAGATGCTGGAAGCCAGAAGGGGGCACGTATGGCCAAAGATGGAAACTAATTCAGTCCTGTTTCCCCAGAACTAAGCCAGGCGTCTGGATCTAGGTTGACTGGAGGAGGAGACTGCAGCATCTCCTGTTCTCCAGGGACAGAAGTCCTTTGTGGCTGCATTAGTAGAAATTTACTAATAGTTTCTTGCTGTGATGGTTGATAATGAGGCACCCAAAATACTCCAACTTCTCACTCGAACTGTGGTAACAGGTGATGATCAGTTTGGTGCAATACCATCGTGAGGGAGGTCGACCCTGTCCAGATCCCATGGCTATGTCGGGTTTGCCTGTTCTCCAGAGCTCTTTCCTCTCTCAGTGAATTGAGCTGATGATGTAATACACTTAGAACCGCAGATGCCTTTACTACCATGGTACAAAATCATCAAAGTGACCTTTTCACAAGACATTGTAGATGTTTTAGTCAATGATGGACCACATATACAATGGTGGTCCCATAGGGTGCAATGGAGCTGAAAAAGGCCCATGACGTGCTGGTACAGCACAGCACCTCACTCCTGTGTGTGCTGAGGCTGCATAAGCAAGCCCACTGCACCGCCAGGCATAAAAACTTAGCACATACAGCTACGTACAGTACACAGCACTTGATAATGATAATAAATGACTATGCTACTTGTTTATGTATTTACTATGTACTTTTTTATCATTGTTTTAGAATGTGCTCATTCTAAAAAACAGTGATTTCAAATATATTTTTAAATATGCTCTAGAAGCACAGTAATTTCTGGATGCCTGTTTAAATGGGATATAAAGAAAAATTATTGAAATATCCAACTGATTCAAAGTAAAAATATATAGATTCTGCAAGTTTAATCTATGTAAATAACAGTGAATTCCAGAAACAAGTATTAGTTTACTACTTATTCCTTTGCATTCATACAAAAACTTCCTAATATTTAGGTTGAAAATATGCTTGATAAGACCTACAAATGAAAATGGTAAAACTGGAACAAAGTTTGGTTTTTCTTGTTGGGGGAAAAAAACACCTAAAAATAATAATTAATTAAGTAATTAAGTAATTAAGGCTGGGTTTTCTTCATTTACCACTTCTGACATCCATAAGAGTTAAAATGTGAAATTATCCACAGTCTATACAGTACAAATACAGAATATACATGCAACTTTTTATTACTCGCTTTTCCATTACTACACTTACTAACCTCTTCTAGGACTCTCGTGGTTGAAGAGAATACCATTCACGGCGAAGAGATTATATGCCTCACGGAAATTCACCACGATCCAGTAGGCATACAGTTTCGCTGCCCCTGTGGGAATAATTTTTAAAAAGCAAATAAAAGATAGTGATTATTACAAAAGACAGTGTCTTATTATTAAAAAGCAGTGATTTTCACTCATCTTAAGTCACAACTTGCAAGAATTACAATCTGTAATGTATCAAGATAGAAAAAAAAAAAAAAAGTCAAAAGCCAAAGACAAAATAAAGGTTCCTTTGCCAGTTAATCAAGTGTACAAGGAAATATTTAAGAACCACTTACTTCTGTAATATCCATGGTTCTTTCTTCACAATCTAACTAATTTCAACTATAGCGTGTGCCATCTATCAAGTCGACCTTCTTAGATTTTATCCCCTTTTTCTTAGTATTAAGGAATTAGAAAGTGAAAAATATGGGATCTTAATATTCTAGCTGCTTAGAAATTTTATCACTGAAGTCTTTTATTTTGTTTTTTGTTTTTGTTTTTTTAAGGGTTTGAACTCAGGGAGACTTTCATTAGGAGATAAAAAAACATGAAACCTTATCACTTCAGCACGTGATTCAGAAAAACGAATCATGTCTGGTCTAATTTTCCTTTCAGAGTGATCTGTTTGAAAGGGTTGAGTGAACATGAATTGGTGAGGTGAGGTGGTAATTTCTCCCTGGAGGCAATGGCATCAAATACTGCAGTTAGCAATGTATAAAGGTATGCTTCTCAACAAGTCTAGTCACTGTAGTCTACCTTAATGTTCACTTCACACCCAAATGACTTCAGCCATGAGACACGCACAGAATCAAAGCAGACACACACATGCTGACACCCACAGAGCGCGGCGCACGTGCAGGGGGAGTGCAGGCATTCTCACCGTATGGGGACCGAGGGTAAAAGGGAGTGGTCTCCTTCTGGGGTATTTCTTGCACTTTCCCATAAAGTTCACTTGTTGAAGCTTGATAGAACTTGACAGAATTGATAAGGCCACAGGTCTTAACTGCATCCAGAAGCCTTAAAGTGCCAACTCCATCGACATCCGCAGTGTATTCGGCCAGGTCAAACGAAATCTGGAGACAGCAGAAGGCAGTGCCACATTAAGGGAACAGCAGCAGAGATGCGGACAGGGTGATAAAGACTTTTTACAATTTCACATACATAGAAAAGCTACACTTCTGAGAAAATATCTCCTAACAGAATAAAAGTGTGGACATCATCTATTTCTAACACCAAATGGAGCAAAACACCTTAAGAAGCGTCTATGGGTAAAATGAAGAACACTACAGCCACACCTATCACGTCCTAACTCTAGGCTGCAGGCCCCAGGGCAGTGTTTCTCAAAGTGCAGACCCCAGCTCCTCGAGTCACCTGGGTGTTCCTGGAAGATAAAGACTGAACCAGTTGGGGAGGGAGGAGGTGAGGACCTGAGAAACACACATCTGTAACGTGTTCCAGCTGATTTTACACACAGAGAAGTTTGAGAACATGTGCTTTAGAATAGCTGATTAGAGAGAATTGTTTTACTTTCTATTTTAAATGAGATACAACAATGACTTTTTAGTATATTACATATATAAAACAGTATACTTATGAGGCATATTGAATACTGCAAGCTGTTGATGGATATTAAGCTGAATGATTTCTAACCACAGGGTGTTAAGGGATAATTCAGATTTTGCAGTTCTAACATATTCTTTAAAAATAAATATGATGTATGCTTTTTTCTTAAATTATTTATAAGCACAATAAACAAATTTACCTAATATTCAAATCACCTAAAATAATAAGGCTGAAAATCTTTGTCACTGGTCTATTTGCTGGCCAAATACGGCCAGGCACTGTGCAGACCTGCTTCCTGCTGCCTGGTACACGACCTCCGTGCTGACCTGGAAGAAGCCCTCTGGGTGAGAGGTCACTGGCTTTCATTACTGCCAGGTCCTGGTGTCCCCCAAAGCAGAACCTGCAGCCTGTCCATGCACAGGGCACTCAGGGAACAGAAGCAATAGCTAACCAGAGCCCTAGCTCAGACCACTAGACTCATGTCATGCAAGCCTGCCAACAAAGCTCACAGGGCAGCCAGGAGATAAAACCGTAAAAACGTGTTTCACTCACAAACTTTTAATGCCAAGAAAGCACAATTGGGGCTATTTTATTCTTTTTAAAAAATATATATATTGTGATAAAACTTATATCCCATAAAGTTCACACTTTTAAAGTTTACAACTCAGTGGTTTTTAGTATATTCATAGCTCTATACAATCATCACAACCATCTAATCCTGAACATTGCATCATCCCCAAAAGAAACTCTGTACCTATCAGCAATCACTTCTCACCTTCCCATTCCCACCCTGACAACTACTAAACAACTTTCTGTCTCTACCCATTTGCCTATTCTGGACACTTAATATGGACAGAATCATATACTATGTGTCCTTTTGTGACTGGCTTCTTTCATATACCATATCTTCATTTCTCTTGGATATGTACCTAGGAGTAGGGTCATCTGGTAACACTGTGGAAGTGTCAGACTGTTTTTCAATTTCACATTCTCACCAGCAGTCAATGAGGGCTCCAATTGCTCCACACCCTACCTAACACTTGTTGAAGTCTTTCTCTTTGATTATAAACATCCCACTGGGTGTGGTATCTCCTGTTTTATTTTTATTGAGCTAGATTTGACAAATGTATGTATTATGAAATTATCACCACGATAAGTCTAGTTAACAACCATGATCACACATAGTTAGTAAATATTTTTCTTGTGACGAGAACTTTTAACACCTACTCTCTTATAGTAACTTTTAAATGTACAACAGAGTATTATTACCTATAGTCACTATGCTCTACAGTACATCCCCATGACTTATTTTATAACTGGAAGTCTGTATCTATTGACCACTGTTACCTATTTTGCCCACCGCTTACCACCCCCTATCCTGCCTCTGGCAACCACCAAAATGTTCTCTGTATATGAGTCCATTTTCTTCCTTTTTAGATTCCACATGCACGTGAGATCTTAACGTATCTGTCTTTCTCTGTCTGACTTATTTCACTTAGCATAATGTCCTCAAGGTCCATCCATGTTGTCCTAAATGGCAGGGTTTTTCCTTTTTCCATTGATGGGCACTTAGGTTGCCTCCATATCTTGGCTATTATCAATAATGCTGCAATGAACATGGAGGTGCAGATGTTGGAGTGTTTTCATTTCCTTTGGAGAAATCCCCAGAAGTGGAATTGCTGATACATTTGGTAGTTGTGCTTTTAATTTTTTAGAAAACTCCACGATGGTTTTCTTAGTGGCTATACCAGTTTACATTCTCACAAGCAGTGCAAGTAGTTTATCAGGACTACCCCATCCATTCTCCTTCTACTTTCTCTTTACATACAGTACTCTTAACCTCAAAATACAGACTGGAAAAAAGAATACACATTGAAAAAGTTCTGAGATCTACTATAACCAAACATGAAAGAAGAAAACAAAAATACCCTTCCCCCTTCATACTGGCGTGTAAGCTTCATAGGGGCAGGAGTCTTACCTATTTCTGCTCATCATTAAATTCCCTAGAATGACATACTGGTAAAAATGCACCTGGAATTTAAAAATGAAAAGTCAGCCTGGCCGGTATGGCTCAGTGGGTTGAGTGTCGACCTATGATCCAGGAGATGGCAGATTCAATTCCTAGTCAAGGCACATGACCAGGTTGCAGGCACAATCCCCAGTAGGGGGGTGTGCAGGAGGTAGCCGATCAATGATTCTCTCTCTCATTGATGTTTCTATACCTCTCTCTCTCCCTCTCCTTTCCTCTCTCTGGAATCAATAAAAACATATTTAAAATATGTAAAAATGAAATGTCATTTGAAGAAAAGTTCTACTTATTTTTATTTATATATTTAACTCTCCTACAACTGTTAATAGAACTATTATCTTCTAAAGCAAAAATAAATTGAAAAAAGGATTTTAATAAAACTTTGAATAAAAAAAATTCAAATACAGAAAAAAATTTCATAAAAAACTGATGAATATTTCTAACTTCTTTCAGGATTTTCAGTTGAAACAAAAACGAATAATACATGGATGAGTTTAAAGAAAGGCAAAACCATGTCAGAAGAAATGGAGTGGCAAGACAGCACAGCAGTTAGGAACTGCGACGCTAGGTAAGACTTCAGGGAAACCTATCCACATAATCACCATAAGTCTATGCTCCCACTATAGGGGCTGAAGAAGATGGAACTGAGAGCTTTCATGCAAGTGTCCAAGAAGCAACTGGTGATATACAAAAACAAGACATGTTGATAATTACAGGTGATTAGAACACAAAAGTAAAATAATGTCAAAATGAGGCAAGTGATTGGCTCGTGGATTTTTGCGAAGCCAGGAACTAGGCAGTCACATAACATGTAATTCACACAACTGAACAGATGACTGCACACGTCAACATCACCACAAAGCAGAACATCACCACCGCAATACAGAAATCAAACAAACTACGTAACTGGAAGCAGGAGGTGGAGAAGCTGTACTCTCTGCCAGAGCAAGACCAGGAGCTGATGTGATGCTGACCACCAACTGTTCCCATCAAACCTAGAGGAAAGCTGAAGAGCATGAGAGGAAACACAGTGTTCAAATGTAATGGAAATGCGCTCCTCATGATTTGAAGTCCAGGTGAAAAACTAATTTGTACTGTAAACTTAATTGATTGAGAACCAAAAGAACTGTAAGCTAAAACTAGAAGTATTACTAGGGAAGAAGGTGAAAAACAATGCCAGTAGTAAAAAGAAAAGAAAAATCGAGATGGATGACAACAGACATCAAATGGCCACCACCAATAGATCAACAAACAACAAGGGTTGGCAAGGGTGTGGGGAAAAGGGAACCCTGGTGCACTGTTGGTGGGAGTGCAGACTGGTGCAGCCACTATGGAAAGCAGTACGGAGTTTCCTCAAAAAATTAAAAAATGGAACTGCCTATGACTCAGTGATTCAACTTCTGGGAATATATCCAAAGAAACCCGAAACACTAATTTGAAAGAATATATGCTCCTCTATGTTCATGGCAGCATTATCCCAAGTGCCCATCAGTAGACGAGTGGATAAAAAAGCTGTGGTACATTTACATAGTGGAATACTACTTGGCCATAAAAAGGAAATTTTACCTTCTGCAACAGCATCGATGGACCTGGAGAGTATTATGCTGCGTGAAATAAGTCAGTTGGACAAAGATCATAATGCCATATGGTCTCACTTGTATGTGGAATTTAATGAACAAAATAAAGTGATGAACAAAATAAACTGACCAAAAAAAAAAAAAGAGAGTGAGGCATGGAAAGGCATGGATACATGGAACAGACTGACAGTGGTCAGAGAGGAGAGAGGTTGGGGGACTGGATGGAAGAAGATGAAGGGATTAAGCAAAAAACCATTTATACACAACACAGACACAGAAAACAATGTGCTGATAGCCAGAGGGAAAGGAGGTGGGCGTTGGTGGAAGTAGGCAAAGGGGGCAGCAAAGGGGGAAGATATGGGGACAGAAAGAGACTTTGCTTGGGGCAATGGGTGTACGATGCATGTGCAGATGACATTTTGTTGAGTTGTACACTTGAAACCTGTATGGTGTTGTGAACCAATGTCACCCCAATAAATTCAATATTCAAAAAAAGAAAAAACACACTGCTGTAAAAAAAAAAAAAAAAAGAAACGTAAAAAGATATCACCCAGAAGCATTGGTCCTTTTCCAGTTCACTTCTGATAGAACTGTAGTTACTCCTGGGATTCTTATCTCATTCTTTAAATGATTATTTTTTATACTTTCTTAAAACATCGAAAGTCTTTCCAACCATCCACCCAAAGCACAATATGCTGTTATGCTAATTACTGTCATGACTAAACACCATTGCAGTTTTAAAAAAAGATGGATCACAGTAGAAAACATGAAAAATTGTTAAAGACAGGTAAGAGGCAAAAGTTAAATGTGACAGAACACTGAAGACAGGTTTTTTCTTTTCTTTGCAATTCCCTAATGACATGATGCTGAGCATCTTTTCATGTACTTACTTATCATTTGTAAA